CCTTCAGATAGAAGCACAAACTTCACATCTTGAAATCATAAAATGCCTTCCTAGACAGCTTTTGAAAGCATTATAGGCGCTCGAGACACAAACGCTGCTCCAGAAGGTTGGAAGAAATGATGCTGCCTTCTAAGATGTCAAAATCTGAAGTTGCATCATATGTATCTGAAGACAGCTTCCTATGCAGCCTCATCTTATTAGTATTCATATGTTAAGTTTAGATGGTTTTATAGACCCTGAAGCATATTATATCGACGTAGTGACAACAACTAACATATAAAAGTATGTATGTACGCTCAGCTTTAGAAACATAAAATAACTCATATTTTAATACCTTTATATATTTATGAATATATTTGTATAATCATTTTTTACAATATAGATATTTCTGAGTCCCTCCCCTAACCTAAACACTTCTCAACAACAGCGTTATTTACTATTAAAGTATTAATTAATATTTAAAATTAGTTTATATATATATATATATATATATATATTCAGTTTTCTTTTTAATTTTAGTAATTTTGTCATGTGCTTTTGTCATCTATTTCGGTTTTAGTTATTTGTGTACTTCAACTTAAACCTGTTTTATTGTAAATAGTTATTCCAGTTAGTAACATCTCTAATTTTCTGAGTTTTTATCCAGTATTTTACTTCAGCGTTATTTCAATTACACTTGCGTTTTAGTTAATAAAAACACTACTCAAAAATATACAAAAGTGTGTATATTTTTAAGATTTGTAAATTTTAAAGTGTGTGTGTCTATATATAAATAATTACATGATTCTAACATTTGAAAGTTTAGGCATTGGTAGAATGAATGAAGGAATGACGACATTGAGCATTTTTTATTAGTTACTTATATACCATAAAATCAAACTATTAATACAGTAAATTCAATATTGTATGAACAAAGTATTTGTAAAACATGCACTTTTAAAATGTTCATACACAATATGCATACATTTCAGATGTAGGTGTTTAGTGTTTATGCAAACATATAAAAATGTATTTGTAGTAGAACCACACTTAACATATGAATACTAATGAACTTGCTGTATTTTGGAACAAAAGAGCTTTAGACTGACAGTGTAGGACATCGATTCACATTCAGGACAGGACTAAAGAGAGAACGTGCTTCTCCCAAACCTAATCGAGTACACACACACACACACACACACACACACACATAAACACACAGGCCAGAGGACAGTGATGGGTCTTATTCATTTTAATGCTGGCCTCTGTTTTCCTGCATTTGCTGTATGACAGTAGCAGCGCTGCTGTCTCCCTCCACACAGTCCCTGATTCCTTCAGTGGCCTCTGCAATCTCTCACTACCCATCATTCTCCTCTTCTTTCCACTTTCACTATTCTATTCTTTTCATCTCTCTTTTTTCTTATTTCAGCTTTCCCTCTCTCTCTGAATGTCATATCAAAGCACAATTTATGGTGTATGTTGGTACACAGCGGGAGCCCGGCTGCACTTTAAAGTTTGATGAGAAGGATGAAAGCAACCGTCCTCATCCTCATTTGACAGACAGATAAGAGCGACCTTGAGCCCGGGTGTTCCTGAAGGCGACGGGTGACCTTGGTTGGGAAGAGCGAGAGAGGATGGATGGGACACGTGTGTGTGTGTGTGTGTGTGTGTGTGTGTGTGTGTTTGAGGGGACAGGAAGTCAGCGTGAGGTCTGCTGCTCTCAAACAGGACCAATCAACTCCACACAGCCGCTAATAAAGGCTGATCTGAGCTCAGCAGTGCACTCTTGGTGTGTGTCGCAGGTTTCTCTGTGTACATCCGTGAATGATTACAAGAGACTGAGTTTGCAGGAAGAGAAAGACTGGGTACAAAATATAAAAGAAAGACTATTTCTTCTATCTGTTGTGTTGTCTTCACTGGATGCACGCAAATACAAATACAGCACGAGCAGAGCAGTCAGATTCACCAACAAACGAGGCTGCCTACATATGAGGAAAAGCTCTGATGAATAGCAATGTGTAAGATGTGTTTTCATGGGTTTTCAAAGCAAGTGTTTTCTAAACCTGTGTAATACTTTTTTAGAATGTTTCACATTCTTATTTCTCATCATGTTTTTACACATGACACTTTGCAGTGAAAATGTATTCATCATGATTTCAAAAATTCCTCATCAAATATTTCAAAGAGCAAATTATCTGAGCAATAGCATCCGCTTTCATTTGAAAGCACTGTACTCTTATTGTAAGCCAACAGTGCCTTGTTGCTGTCTATTTTTATTCATCTCAATAAATTTAGAAAAATCCGAGACAAAGCTGATATCTAAAAGAAACTCTATTAAGTTCCCCTGAGCTCTGAAAGAGCAAGTTCTGAGCAATAGCATTGTCCTCTGGGAAACATCCACTCCACTCGAAGCACGAGAGCGCAGCCACAGACGCCAGTCGTCTCATTTCCATAAGCAGTCATCATTCTGAATTGCATCGCCTTCAAAGCGCCTGTCATATATTCTTTAGAAAGATAAGTGTTAGATTACACTTTCAGATGTTATGACTCGGTGCAGGGGAAAAAAAGAACGAAACACAAACACACATCCAAAGGATTGCATTGGGGAAACAGGGGGGATGGAAAAGACGGCATTTGAAGTTGATATTTGATATTTCATACTGCCATCTGTTATCAGTATAAATCAGCATGAGCATTTCAGCGGTCAAATTGCTTTCGATCGCAATCCGTCGCTCATACCCCTCGTGTCACTTTCCCTCTCTCTCTCCGTCTCCTGCGTCTGTCTGATAAGAACTACTCACTTTAATTCACTTTTTCTGCAGTCAAACTTCCCCGTCTGCACACTCTACTCAACTCTGTCTGTCTGTCAGTCCAGCTCTATACAGGACGAAAGCCATTTTCATCATCAGAATTTAAGGACCCGGCACTGAACTATTGTCTGTTAGTTTAAAATTGTGCTGCATTAAAGTCTATGGCAGCCCCAAGAATCATACTGTAAAAAAATTGGTTTCTGGTTGCCAATTTCACTGCAAATCTCTCAAATCGCCATCGAAACTCTCACATCCGTAAAACCAATGTTTCTGATTCCTTAGGTCATGCAGAGTTCAATGTTTCAATTTATGCCACACTACATCTTCCAGCATTTTGTCGAAACACACTTTCTACATTTTTCCTCCAGCTTTCATCCCCGAATTTGGGTCAGATTAATCTTCAGGCTTCATGTTGGGCAAATATGAATAAAACTTTTTTAATACACCAAACCATTCACATGCAATGCATCAAAACAAATACATTTGGTCAAGAGGACGTCAATCGGGAAGACTGAACCTTTGGAACTGTATGATAAATTAAACTTTCTAGGTATCATCGCCACAATACCGTGAAAACACGCAAGCGGTTTTGTGATGGCGCCACCTACTGACAAAAATCATACAAAAAGGACGAAACATTGGAATAATTGGGTGGTTTCCCAAGTTCCACGATTTGTCATTCTGAATAAGTCTGAACACATTTAGTGAGGTTAATGCTTAATTCGTTGCCTAATTAGAGGAAATGATTCTACATATTTGCCTTTAATAGTGTTACGACCCAAAGTGTTTTTGTATTTGTCCACCAGGTGGTGTTGTTCTGCGAAGGTGTTGTTTATCTTTGCTCTTCAGCCCTGGATAGTTTTCTTCTTTTTCTTTATGTATCTTCACTTTGTTTCTGTATTTGTTATCTCAATTTATTTTTTGATTAAACATTTATTTGTTAAATTTAATTCCATGTTTGGCCTCCCCTTTGTAATGTTGCTTCACCTAGAGCCAGGTGGTTGTAACAATAGGAAAATGCAATTCTCATTGTGGCATGTGTTTGCAGAAATTTCCTTCAAGCAGACAGACACAAAATGGTCTGTTGGTGTTTTTTCATTACATTTTTTTTTCTAGTAAATAAATAAATAAATAAAAAATGTGCACAGCCTTGTGACAAAAGTAAAATATAACATACTTAAAATAATACGCTTTAAAAGAATATACTTAAGTGTAAAGTGATTCTAAAGTTTTTGGACACTTAACTTCATATTATATAATTGAAATTAAATGAAAATGTATTAGAGTATAAGTTTATATTAAATGCAGTTAGCTGAACTTCCACATGTTTTTAACCCACTTAAGTAGGATATAAGTACATTTTAATGTGTCATTTCACAATTACTTCATTTCACAAAAACCTGTATCTCATTTATTTAAAAATATTTGTAATACACATTTGTAATGAAGTTGCAATTTAGTACATTTAAAATTGATTAATGTCAAATGCAATATTGAATTAATTATAGCTACAATTTTAACCAAATATTTTACATTTGCTTTAATATGTTAGTCAACACATAAAAAAAAGCATCCCAAAAGATTGTTAAAACAATTATTTAAAATGTACTTTAATGTAAAACGTTTCATTTAACATTAACACAAACTCCTCTATTTAAAAGTGTACTTAAGTGTGTTAAGAAATGGTCATAAAGGTGTCTTTTTCCAAGTACACTTGAGTGGCCTTTTATTTCATTAATCATATATTTTTGGTCACACTTTAGTTTGGGGAACAATTCTCACTATTAACTAACTATTAACTATGACTTTTGCCTCAAACTCCTAACTTGCTGCTTTTTAATAGTTAGTAAGGTTTAGGTATGGGGTGGATTAAGTATTCTAAAATACGGTCATGCAGAATAAGGCATTAATATGTGCTTTATACAGGAAGTACTAATAAACAGTCAATGTGCTAGTAGCATGCATGCTGATAAGCAACTACTTAAAAGTGAGAATAGGTCTATATAAAGTGTATAGTTTGTAAAGTGTATTTTATTTTTTTTAATATATTTTCTTTTAAGATTTTAAGCACACTACAAATGCACATTCAATACAATTAAGCACACGTCTTTTTCACAAGGGCATGTTGGCAATTCATACCACAGTTTAGAGCCAAATAATAGAATGTAAAACAGGGGTTACTGTACATGCTACAGACAGTGGATAACTGACCTCTCCCCTCCCTGCGATCCGCCGGGCCACGATCAGCTGAATCATGCCTCTCTTGTTGCCCTCGATGGACATGGACTTGCGGAGGGCCTCCATCGCTTCCTGATTGGTTTTCTCCAGCAGAGACTCTCCATTAACTGCTATCAGCTGGTCATTGACCCTCAGACGCCCATCCTGTGATCGCACACACAAGAGCATATTAAAAGTTTCATTGGAATATATGAACATTAAAAAAGAAAGTATGAGTGATGAGTCTCATAGCCAATCAGAGAGCTGCTCCTCACCTTGCAGGCGGCTCCTCCAGTGATTATAGACTTGACAAAAATGCCCAGGTCGGCGTGGCTCTCTTTCGATCTATTGCCCTTGACACTGACCCCTAAACCGGCCGATCCCGAGTCATTGAGAGGGATCTCAAACGTCAAAAACTCCTGCATTCCATCCGGGGTCAAAATTAAGTCATCTTGTTCTTTCTAAAGAGATAAAGGATAGGCACAAAGATATTGATCAGTTAAAGATGGAGTGTGTATTTATTTATTCAATATTAAAATCATTTTTCACAATTGAATGCACAACTAATAGGTAAGCCACTCATTCCAGCAAAGTATATGAACACCGTGTCTGTGGGGTTTTCTAAAGCATCCCGATCAGCCCAGCATAGCAACGACTCAACCAATGGCATGAGTTTGGGGCGGGGCTTTCTGGAGGTTTGACCAATGACAGGCAGGGAAGCACTGAAGCTCGTTTCCATCATGGGATAAAAACAATATAAAAAGGTAATTGTGTCTTTTTATCTCACAATTCAAACTTTATTCTCACAGTACTGAGAAATGTGAAATATAAACTCACAATTCTGAGAAAAAATAAATAAATAAATAAATAAATAAAGTCTGAATTGCGAGACAAACTCAGAATTCTGACTTTTTTTCTTCAGAATTCGGAGTTTACATCCCGAAATCCTATTTACTTTTGGTTCCATCACTTAATAAAAAATTTAAATGGTAATTGCTAATTTTTTATCTCACAATTCTGACTTTTTTTCTTGCAGTTGAAAGTTTACAGATCAATTTTCTTAGAAATGTAAGTTTATATTCTGTCTTTATAGCTCGGAATTCTGAGCTTTATTCTTTTTATTCTTCCTCAAAATTGCCAGGAAAAAAGTCTGAATTGTTAGATATAAACTCAGAAATGCAATAAAACGTCAGAATTATGAGATAAAAAGCTGCTATTAGCTGTGTTTATTGTTATTTTTTTTGTTTGTTTTATTGTTTTTGTTTGTTTGTTTGTTTTATCCTGTGGTGGAAACAAGCATCTATAGGAAAGTGTTTGGAGGATACCTGTTTGAAAACGATCATTATTTTTGCAGATCCATTTTGTGACGTTAGTGGTGTATAAAATGACACCTCAGTATTAATATACAACACAAGTACAGGAAGCAAAAGCATGTAACAAATAGGTATCAAATATACAATAGAAGAAAATAAAATTAATTTAAAGGGGTCATATGATGCGATTTCAAGTTTTCCTTTCTCTTTGGAGTGTTACAAGCTGATTGTGCATAGATAAGATCCCTGAAGTTGCAAAGACTAAAGTCTCAAAAAGTTAAGACTCTGCGACACCCCACTAAAACGGCTCGTTCTAACACGCCCCCACATATCTAGGTCACTATGTGGAAATATTAGCATAATGCCGCCCAAATGAAAACCATCATATGACCCCTTTAAATAAAAAGAAAGAGTTTTATTTTTTTACTTTGTTTTGTCACTTTATAAAAGAAGGATTCTCATAGTAATTATATATTATTGTTTTTAAACAATTATTTCAGCATATTTACTGCCAAGGGAAGCATTAATGATCATAAACATCATAAACTCAAAGCTGACACATTAATAAAATGCTATTCAAGATTAACAAAATGAGTTTAATAATAATATGAACACAATAAACACAGTATGTCCTTACAGTTTAATTATACAGAGGTGGGGAGAGATTAACACAGTGGGATCACATGACTCATTAAACAGGATGTTTACAATGGTTACTATGGAGATCTGTGTTAGCACCCGCTGAGTGGATGCTCTCCTGTTGTTCACAGGGAAAATCTAATCACAGTGCAGAATCAAACCTATGATATATATGCACTGGATTGGGATCAAATCCAGAAATACATTTCCATATCACTATATATGATATTTGGACACTGCCATCGTTTCTAGCTGGTCTATCAGCAAGTGGACCAAGTTTCAACCTAGTAGATCATCTTGGTCACAGCTGACCACTTTAGACCAGCAACAAACCAGCTAACATGTTCCAAAACTAGCTTTTTTTAAGTCATTAAAAGGGATTCATTGGAGAAAATCCACTCTGTGTAGCATTTTTATACATTTAAACCAAAAGTAATATGTTTTAAGAAAGGTTTAGCACACACACACAGCTGAAGAATGCCAGGTGCTTGGCTTTAATCCAGCTGCTGAGAGCAAAGAGGCTGGAGACGAGTTATAGAGATTCAGCCAAGCAATCATCCCATGCCTGAGCGGTTGCCATGGCAACCCAGGTGGCTCTCAGCAGACAATAGCAGCTCTCAGGTTTAAGAACCAGCATCCAGGTGAAGGCAGCAGGAAGAACACATGCGGCGGTGTCATCCGCAGGCGCTAACACAGCGTTCACAAGTGTGATTTTCACCCAGTCATTTAGTTCCTGTCACGCCGTCAACAAGTACTCAAAAGGACCACAGTCTTTCAGACTGACACAGTGAAGTGCCTCTCATCGGCTCGCTCTCTTGCCGCTAGAGAGGGCCGGCAGCCAGAACTGATATGCATTATGGATACAAACATGAAGAAACATTGTAGTTTTACTCCAATTCTCGCCTTTGACAGACAACACAGTTTTTGCCAGTTGTTCTGTGACAACTGAGAAATAACATGTCAAGCCTCATCAATTACGCCTTTATTTTGCTGGGCGAGTTATTTAGAGGAGCTCAGATATATAATAATCAGAGACTGTACTAATGCTTGGGGAAATTACAACACTGTGTTACTCAAAATAATCAAACAATCAATCAATCAATCAATCAATCAATCAGAGAGAAACTGACAAGAGAACGTCTGAAGTTATCTAATTCAGTTATTTATCAACTTTGTCAAAACCAAACAGCAAACACAACCAAACTAATAATTTATTAAACTCATACAATTGTAAAAAACATTTTAATATTTTCTTAAGAAATGTGAGCGCTGCTTATCTGGCCAAAAAAGCAAAAGCAAAGCAAAACAAAACAAAAAAAGCAAAGCAAAGCAAAACAAAACAAAAAAGCAAAAGTAAAGCAAAGCAAAACAAAACAAAAAAGCAAAAGCAAAGCAAAGCAAAACAAAAAAGCAAAAGCAAAGCAAAACAAAA